GAGAGGCTTTGAGAGTGATACTGCATACACAGCACTCACTAGGACAGTATTAGGAGGAAACTGGAACTCTCCTCCTACAAGAGCAACCACTGCTGCTTCTACTGTCTCAGAGGACAGTAAGCTCTCCTTTTGTACTCCAATCCTTAGACCATATTTCTCCCAATTCATCAGTTGAGGTTTGTCTCCTTGAATTAAGAACAGCTTCCTCTCTGCTACCTGGACATCACTCAGACAATCCAATTTATCTGTCAATTATACAAAATATATACAGTGAGTACACACACAATTGTATACACTCAGTCAGGGTTTCCCACAAAGCATGCTAAGTGAGCTAAACAGCATGAGCTTCATGAGCTGACAAGCACTACAATACAGTACGTGGCATTTGGAGCAACTTTAAAACTTCACAAAATCCTAACTTGATCGGAATCAGCTCAAGGTTGATAAACAACATAAGAACATGTATATGTATCAGAAAAAATTATAAAAATCATGAACTCTCTCCTTGTGATTTTAGTCAAAATACCCTGTACTACTATATACTATATACAAGGTCCTTTGGCCAAATTTTTGAGCAGCTAATTAACAATACACTGAATACTACATGTATATACATGCATGCCAAAATTAATCCTCTTGGAAACCCTGCACTCAGTCAGTCACACAATAATACTCTTACCCATTGAAGGGATCAGGTAATTAAATTGTAGTCCAATGGAACTAGTCTCTTTGATGGATTGTTCCTCTAAGGATGTGACTCTCTCCTGTAGTTGTGACTTCTCCTTCATTAATTTGGTTGTATACAATTCATTAACAGACAATATAGCTCTAAGGTCTATAAATTAATAGAATATTAATAATTATTATTGATTGATGATGATTCACAAACCAGTAATGATCTGTTTCTCATTCTGTGATTGTTCCTCTACTTGTGATATCAGTTTGGCTATAACTTTGTCTTTCTCAGAAATGTCAGTTTTGAGATTTTGATTGTCAGCTACACAATAAACATATTCCCTCATCTAATACATGCTGTGTGTATAGTTAACTAACCAATAATGACCTGTTTCTCCTTGAGATATTGTTCCTCTATATCAGCTACTTTGAGTTTCAGTTTCTCATAATCTTCTACATTAATAGAATGTTCTTGAAATTGTTGTTGTGCTTGTTGAAGCTGTCGCTGAAGATCCTGCTCTCGTTCTCTGGCCTGCTGAATTTCCCTCTCTCTTTCTTGTCCTTGTTGCTGTGCTTGTTGAAGTTGTCGTTCTCTTCCTTGAAGTTGTTGCTGTAGTCTGTTTCTAACTTGTTCCTTTTCTCTTCTCTCCTCCTCTAGTTCCCTTTCCCTTTCTTGTAGTACACATGTCAGACGGTCTATTTCTCTTCTATCCTCAGGTTGAACAGGTTGAGATGCTTCCCATTCTCTTCTCCTTTCTTGTAGTTCTCTG